ATCATGAGTGTTTTGAGAACATTAGCCAAAGCTTGAGCAGGAAAATGTCTACGTAAACTTCACCAGAGTGTCCTTCTCCACCACAGCGCTCCTTTCTCACTGTTGGCAGCAATGGGGGGCAACGTAAAAGCAGAATGAACACTTGTTCTGTTCTCAACTTCACCCAAAAGTTTGGTTAGAAGTCTACTGAATGCACATTTCTATCTCTTTGCATGTTAATCTGGTCTTACTGTGTACATATCAGCCTGAAAGAGAAATACCTAGCTTTCATTTGCATATATTACAGCAACATACTTTGAATCTGTTTGGGAGGGGTGTTTCTTTAAGAAGGACTTGCACATTATTCAGTTTTAGAAAACACTGGGTTAAAAAGCTGGAACTTACGCAAAATCAGGAATTAATTTTAAAGCCTCCTATGGAATATTTTCATGTTCATTTCTGTCCATTAGATATCTCTAATATCTAAAATTCTGCTACACAAAACTTGATGATAATAACGATCCTGAGGCAAGACAAAATCTTGTATCAAAAACCTCGGGATACGTATTACAAACCTGCCTTCCAGAAATATTTCTACCAATTTGCATACCTACTACAGCATTTGAGGGCCCATAATACATATCTTTAAAAGCTTTAAAATTATTTTTAAAACATACTTATGTTAACATATAAAAATGTATTTTAATATGGCAGTAACAAAGTTAGAAAAAAAGTTACCATCCACAATAGCATCAAAATAGGAAACATCCAAAAATATGTCTAACAAATTATATGCAAGACTTCTATGGAGAGAAAGATACAAGGAGGCTTTGAAAAGCTCACGGAAGAACAATATTAAAGGATAATAGATTTCTTCTGTGAACTTTTGAAGCCCCTTTGTTAAGAACCTTATAAGGGATATACATCAATGTAAAGACACCAGTTCTTTCCAACTTAACTTATAGTTCCAATGAAATTCCCCCCAAATCATGGCAGTTTCTTTTCATTTTGCTTTTTCAATTTTGGGGAGAGTTTGACAAGATGATTCTTTTCATGGAAATGCTAAGAGCCAACGTTAGCCCAGGCCTGGAAAGGAATCAAGGTAGAAAGACTTCCTTGCTCTCGCAAGACACTGAGATTTATTATACAATTGTAAAACTGAAAACAAAAAGAGAAAAAAAAATGAAGTAGGTACAGTCAAGTAAGCCAGTGGGCTAGAACAGGCACAGGAAGAGAGACCCGCTTAGGGAGAGAAACGTGGGGCGCAGGGCAAATACGGTCGGGAGCGGGACAGGGCTAAATGTGGATTAAAACTCACTTGTGAAAGACATGATTTTTCAGATAATATAGATAACTGTCTTAATGCCTTGAGGTAGTGAAGATTTTCTTAAACAAGCACTAAACAAAAATCACTGGTAAAATTGGACTACAATGAAATTTAATGCTTCAGTTCATTAAAAGGCTATATAAAGAAAATATAGAGAGGCGGGGTAAAGTAAGTTATACGCAAAACACGAACGGGCAGAGAAACGGTCTCCAAAATATACAACTATTAGCGGTCAGCAGTTTCTGATATGGCTCCCTGATTCCTGTATAATCCCCTCCTTGAGCGTAAACTGGATTTAGTAACTTCCTTCTAACAAACAGATTATGGCAAACATGTGGCTGTCGCTCCGCTCCTGTGATCGCTACAGCACTGTGGCATTCTTTTTGCGGGCATGCTCCCTCTTGCCCTCTTGCCCGTGCACGGTGCCAGTGCATTCTACAGAGAAGACCACAAGGAAAGGCCCTGAGTGAGGCCTCACGAACTGAGGTTCTGCTCACCAGCCTACAGGGAGATAAATCCTGAGAACAAACGAACCCAGTGAGTGAACCGGGAAGTCAATTGTTCACTAAGATGACTGCAGACCTGGCAGAGAACTTGTGCACACAGACCTGACTGGCTCACAGAGACTGCCAGCTAATAAATGTACAATGTTTCAAGTCAGGACATTTGCGTTATCCAACAACAGATAAATGCTATAGATTCAATTTCATCCCCCCAAGAGATATGCTGACGCCCTAACCTTGGGTATCTGTGAACCTGGTCTTGTTTGGAAACAGGTCGTTCTTGAGCAGGGTGGCTCTGAATCTGAGTGGCGTCCTTATCAAATGAGGGGCAGGACACACACAGGGACGGGGAGACACAGCATGGATGCCACATGCCACTGCAGCTGCTAACCGAGGGACACCTGGGGCTCACAGCAGAGGAGAGAGCGGGGAACAGACTCTCTGAAAGCCTCAGAAGATTCGAATCAACACAGGAACAGAAGTGCGAGAGACTAAACGTCGGTCCTCACAGGCCAACTAGTCTGTGGCTCTTCACCACGGACGCCTCAGGAGACGGACACAACGAATAGAAGGCTCTTATAAAGCCATGAAAGCCAGTAAGTAATTCAATGGGAAAATATGAAGAAAGCAAAATAATAGGCACTTCATACGCAAAAAAACAAAGATGAGTTTATTTTGTAAAGAATTAAAGCCACAAGCCACAAAGAAATCCTCTTATACTCACCAGAGGGACAAGTTAAAAAAAAGCTGTCAATACCAAGAATGGAAACATAACAGGAATGTTCTTGTCCTGTACATAGGTTTAATCACTTTGGAAATATCCAGAAGAGGAGCAAATATGATCTTCCAAAAATCTCAAAACTCAATGCCATTGACTCCATGCCAACTCACAGTGACCCGATAGGACAGGATAGAACTGTGCCTGGGAGCTCCCAGACTGTGAGTCTTTATAGCACTCGAAAGCCTCACCTTTTTCCTGCACAGTGGTTGCTGGTTTCAAACTGCCGACCCTGCAGCTAACAACTCAATGTATGAGTCTACTCCCAGGAATATATATATTTCAGAAAAACGTATGCACATATGCTCCATAAAAGTTTACAACAATGTTCATATAATCTTGTTCACTATAGTCCTAAATAAGAAGCAATCAACAAGTAGAATACGGGTTCCTGGGGGTATGGTAGGGGTGGTGGGGGGGAAGGTAAAGGGGAAATAATATTAAGGAGTGCAAGAAGGAAGAAAATGTTTTGAAAATGATGTGATCGCAATTGTACAGTCCTGCTTGATGAGACTAAACTATGCAAAGGGAGCACATCTGTATTCACTTCCAATAAAATAGTTTCATTAAAAAAAAAAAGAAGCAATCAAATGTCCACCAAGAGTAGAACTGATATAGTATGAATACATAATGAAATACTATTCAGAAATAAAAAAGGAATGAATTTCAGAATTTGGAAAAAATCTCTGTGCCATTTACCATTTAGTTCAGAGTGGTTATGAAGATAATGAAAGGTCTCTCTTTGCCTGGAGCAACAGAACAAGGAGAAGTAGAATCAGGAGAAGAAATTGAATGTGTGACTAACAGATTCCATGAAAAGCTTCCTTCTGGCTCCAGTAGAAAGAAAGTGCTTTGAAAATGATGATGGCAAACAGTAATAATAAAGAAATAAAAAGAAAATGATGATGGCAGCATATGGACACATGTGCTTGACACACTGGCTGAACGTACGGATTGTGGTGGGAGACGTACGAGCCCCAATGAAAGTATTTAATAAAAAAGAACCACTTCCTCCTGGGCCATCGGAGCAGAAGAAATGGATGGCGCTTGTCTACCACTAGCGACACTGTGACCAGAGACGTACAGGGGAATCCTGACGAACACGGGAGGCAGGGGGAGGGCGGGATGGGAGGACAACACAGAACAGAAATTCAAATTCTCATGGAATCCACTCTATGGAGCCTGGATAAATTCCTGAAACTATTTCCCTGAGATAACCTTTAAACCTTAAACTAAAAACATGCCCTGAAGTTTTAAAACCAAACAGTAGGGCTTCTAACCAATCCCTAAGCTGCTGCACCCCTGGTCAGCAGTTTGAACCCCTCCTTGGGAGAAAGTGGAGCCTAGAAAGACTCACAGTTCTCCTCTTTCCTGACAGGGTCGCAATGAGTTGGAATCGAACTGATTCGAGGGCAGTGCTTTTGGAGTAAAGAATATCTGCCTTGAACACTGTGCTCTTTTAAGACCTATCTGTATGAGACCAAATGTCAAGAGCGAATGCAGAGCCTGGACAGGAAACTAAGGGGGCAGGGAGCTGACCTGACAGAGGGAGGAGCCCTTTGGAAGAGGTGGGTGAAAATGATGGCACAACTCACAGAAAACAACCAGTGTCACTGACTTACACATGTGGAAGTCATTCAGTGCACGTTTGTTGTGTGTATTCTTAACAACATTTTAAAAAATGGTCAAATGTGTTATTTCATGTAAAGCACACAGTGCCCGGATCATACTGTTCTATAGGTAATTATAAATAAGAATGCCCCCAACAGCTTATAAAACTGAAGCAGAATTCATCAAAATCTACTGAGAGAAAAGTGTCGGTGATCCTGCTTTGCTGCTTGGCAGGCAGGCTACCAGCGTGTAATATGCCTATTGCATATTTGCGTACTGGTCACTATTCTCCCATTTCTCTTAATTCTCCAAACTAAGTTGAGACTTTAGGACTGCCATTAAAACCTAGAAATGCATGTTTCAAAATGTATGGAGTTATTATAAACGGAATACAGCTTTCACTCTTACCTTGCATTAGGAGTAAGACTTCGTAAGACATGAATTAGGGAACTAAGTGGTAGCGATCCAGTCTGTTTAACCAGAAGAGAATTCTCATAGGACGTTTCTTCAGTATACGGACTATATGTAGTAGTTTCATACCAGAGCCAATTATAAAGACTCTGCTTTGCATGATCCCACACTAGAATAAAGCACATGACAAAAAACAAACAAACAGGAAATACTAATTATTTTCATGATTGTGTTATTAGACTTTACTCTAGGAAAGAACGAGAAAGCATTAGATGAAAAATGAGTCCTGAGATTTTTGCCATTGCGGTATTCAAATCAATACTTCACAATATAATTTCTTTTTTTTCTCTCCACAATATAATTTCATTACCAATCAAGATCTGAATATTTACAGGCTCGGCAGGAACTCAATGAGCCCCGGTCACAGTGGGTTAGTGATGGGTCGATAACACTAGGTCGGTGCGCCCACCCACCAGCAGCTCTGCAGATGAGGCTTTCTGCTCCTGGAAGATTCATTGCCTCGGAAACCCACAGGGGAAGTTCTATCCTGTCCTATAACGTACATACGAGTCACAATCAACTCGATCACAGGTTTCTGGAGTTAAATATAAACTCAGTGAATTAACTTCACAAAATAAATATTGCAATACCATGAAGAATGGACAGAGGTCAAACAATAGTTTGGTTTTCTCCCTCAACCCATGCAATTTTAGGTGTAAGACAACCCTTTTAATAGTTGACCTTTTATTTCAAAAAAACTATATTCTAAATCATATTGGAACACCTATCTCTTTGACAAGATTTGTCTTTAAACATGTAGGTGAGGAAAAGTCTACTGTATGTAAGACAGTAAGACATGTCTGACATACGACATTAATACAACAAATTTTAAAGACAAACATCTCAGGAAAGATAAAGTTCACTCACTGAGGGGAGCATTAAGGTGATCGATAGATGCTATCAGGTATATGTTACACAAAGACGACAGCTGCCCAATAATTTGCTGGCTCTTGTCTCCTCTCAACATTTGGCTATCCAGATTGTGAATGAGTAGGAAAAGTTTTAAAGAAGAATCTAAAACGAAAAGGATTTATTATTTTCAATAAGCACTTGTGAAGCCCCTACTATATACAATAACTCCATATAATAGAATATATCAATGTAGATTAAATACTGTATTTAAGAAGATAGATCAAATGCTCATATAAAGGCAAAGTGTACTTTTTAAAATGGTAAAAAAACAGAGAAAAGGAAATTCAGGAGAACTAGTAGGGACTAGAGTTGTTAGAAATTTAACTTGAAGCAGAACTGAATGAGTACAGAGTCGCTTGCAAAGTGGGCTGTGTTTTGGTTGTTGACTCCATGGGTTACGGAGTAGAACGACTCCATAACATTTTCTTGGCTATATATTTTTTTAAAAGAAAAAAACACTTAAAAATTACTTTATTGGGGGCTCTTACATCTCTTACCACAATCCATACA